CACAGTGCGAGAGGCCGCTGCACATCATCGGATTTTCGGTTGGCAGCAATTGCACACATCATCAGCATTCGCTGCCTCAGACTTTCCAGAGTGCCAGGGGCCACGGCATGCATGCATGCATCATCAACATCATCATCATCATCATCATCATCATGAGCAGCTGCGTATTTTTCTGGTTGGCAGCGATGGCGGCACGCATCATCAGCATCAGCTGGTTCCGTGATTCGAGTTGGCGGCAACAGTATACATCATCAGCATAACCTGCGTGAGACGTTCCATGGAAAGGCCACAGCACGCATCATCAGCATCAGCTCGTTTTCCTCTGGGTAGCAGCTATAAGGCATGCATCATCAACATCAGCTGCTTCATACTTTGCATAGTATACATACATACATATATATATATATATATGTATATTTTATGTAGAAATACTGATGTTTATATGTATGTCAATGTGTGTACACATATAGATATATACCCACACACACATGTAAGCTGTAATGTAGGCTGTTTTTTTCTCGGGGTAGTGCGACGGCACGCATCATCAGCATCAGCTTCCGCAGACTTTTGCAGTCCGAGGGGCTCCAAGCATGTAAGCCTTTCTGGCTTTATGGTCCTGTGCCCCTAATAGCGGCTAGCGCTTAAGCCCTGAACCCTCAATACTTTAGACCCGGAAGCTGCATGAAGCCCTGAACCTAAACCCCTAAACGCGAGTTGGTTAGGGTTGGTTTAGAGCGTAGGGTTTAGGGACCTCAGTTGGTTCTGCTGCACTACTGAGCTGCACTACTTCTTCCTTCCTTCGGGGTCAGAATCGGTATCCTGGTCCTACCCTATATGTTGGTTAGGACAGGGATTGGTGAAGGGCCCGAAATACCTGGTAACAGAATTTTTTGGGGGGTCGTAATCTGTCTGCTACTCCTTTTTACCGGGTATACATGAGGGGCACAGGTTTTTTGGAGGAGCTGTCGTAGAATTCCTTGTGCTTCCGCAAGCATGATATCTGACACGCAGCCGCTCATGATGCTTATGTGGTTTGGAGGCTTTCTGCAAACGGCTGTGGGTGTTTGCATCGGGCAAGGGTTTCCAAAGAAGCCCGAACAACTGGCAACATCGTTCTTTGGCAAACCTATGTAGTAGACCACCAAAACTAGTTCGACGATTTTGGCTTCTGAACCCTAAACTCATCAGCCTGAACCCTAAACTCTGAACCACAACCAGCTCCGCAGCCGTGCTCTAGACGCCCAGCTTCAACTGCCAGCAACCCTGTGTTCCAGGGCGGCATGGACTTCTACGACATCGAGAAGTTGATGCCAAAGATGTGGGAGGCGAAGCTTGCTTCTGTCTCCCCTGGCGTTAAGGGCTCCAGTAGTTTGCTACCATGCACCTAAACACCCTGGAAGCGCTAAGACACCGAAACCCCCTGAAGCCGTAAGCCTTAAAGCCTGAAGCTCAGCACCCTAGACTTCCTAAGCCCTGACTCCTCCGAGCCTGATACCCGAAACATTGAATCCCTAAAACTCCCGATCGCTACATCCTAAGTCACGGATTCCCGGAGTCAAGCCTGATCAATCCTGAACCTGAACCCCGAAAAACGAAGTCTCCAATTCCCTGAAAACTGCAACCCCCGAAGTGGCGAACTTGGAGTCCATGCTGCTCATCGCTCAGATCCCCAATACAGGTAGGGCTTTAACACATTTTCCCAACTCTATAGCAAAGCTGCAGGTAGACCGCTTACAAAACCTTGGATTAGCCAGCCCCTTACAAAACCTAAAAGCCCGCATGGAAGCCTGCAAAACCTTAACAGCCCATATGAAACCTTAGGGAACCTTCTGGAGCCCACCTAAAACCCTACCGAACCTTGTAAAGCCCTAACGGCCCACATCAAGCCAGATGGAACCTTGTAACACCCAAAACCCTAATCTCTAAACCCTAAACCCTTAAACCCTAAAACCTCGCTGCGACTTAAAGCCAATGTGCAACGTCCTGACGAGGCGATCGCCCACGCTAAGCGCAAGGCTGGTTGTGTCTGTGAGTTTGTGTGTTTCAATAGCGTTTTTTTTGGGTCTTTAAAGGGGCTTCCCATGGGTTCCAGAATATGCGGGGCTTTCAGGCTTTTGATGAGGGGTTTGTTGGGTTTATATAGGGGGTTCTCGAAAGGTTGTGTGTAACCTTTGCAGCGGTTGTATACGGTGTTATAGGGCCTGCAAGGGTTCTAGCAGGATCGGGTTGAGTTTGTGGGTAGCAAGCAGTACGTAGTATGTAGTATGTACTTGTACGTATTAAGTAGCAGGTAGTACGCAGTAAGCAGCAAGGCGTAAGTGGCAGGACGGCCTGAATGCTACCAACATCGAAGCCCTGATCCGTCTTGGCAAGGGTCTGGAAAAATGGGCAAGCTTGCTGCTGCCTTGAATCAGTTCATGACCAGACATGGCAATGAAAGACCACGGAACTTCGGCAGTCATGAACATCAGGCTGAGATTTGGCAGTGGGTCAAAACAGCTGATGTTTTACGGAAGAAGTTCGAGACAGTGAAACGGAGTCGATGGCACAATTGTACTGCCAGGCAGTGCCTCACTCAGATTTGCATTGCGCCCAACACCGATCTGCATATCCTTCCATGGTTGCTTGCTTTCCGTGCCGAAGTATTCGGAAGCAGCATCATCGTCGAGTGCCACTGGAAGCTGACAAGGTTCTCTGATCCGCTCTTCTTCGCAATAATCTTCTACAGCACTTTTGGTTTTTAGGGTTTGTGAGTTTTGCCAAATTGAACCTGCATTGACTTGTTCTTTCCCAAAGAGGCGAAGACGTTCATGTGTAGGCCTGCAGCATCTTGCCGTCCTAGGTGACCTTAAGGAATTGGTGATACAGGGGCCTGAGGAATTTCCTATGCTGTTTTTTGGGGAGGGGGATCCTGAGTATAACTATAGTATCATGGGCCTCAAAACCCTATTCTAGCTATTATGGCCCCTATGTAGATCCCTTATAGAACGCTTACAAGAGCCCTTAGAATTCCCTGTGACGGAACCTTATTCTGATTATCAGGGCCCCTGCATTAGAGCCAGCTCTACACCCTCCATGGCCACTTCAAGCGCCTGGGAAGGTCTGTAGTATCGAGACCCCAACAGGGAGAGGAGAAACGAACCCTAATTTGTTAGAGTAAAGGGTTTAGGATTTAGTTTAGGGGTTTGGGTTTTTCAGGATTTTCGGATTTCGGGTTCGGGGTTTGATTAGGGTTTAAGGATAAGCTGTAAGGAATATTCGGGCTTCGATCCGACTGGATTACCTCTCAAGTGCCTCTGCTTCTGAAATCGATTGAACATGCTGGCCCCTAAACCCTTAAACCGCTCCTCCATCAGGCATCCATCTTAGACGACCACGTTTCAGACTGTAGCCCTGTGACCCTGACTCACTGAGAACGCTGCCAACGAGACTCAGGGAAGCGGGGAGTAAACCTTGCTACAGCTACCACACTCTGGCCGCAAATCCTAAACCCCAAACTGCAGTGCAGTAGGAGTTTAGAGCAGTTCACCTTAATATTTTTGAAGTGCTCAAGAACTTTATGCAAGGCTCGTCTTTGCCAGAATCGAAGTTTTCCTGCACCGAAGCCAGCAACTGATCCCACATGGCTCGTTGAGCAGAAAAAATGCCTTAAATGGCGAGATTTTGGGCGTAGAAACTGAAAGATGCTGAAAGTGTATATCTGTGTGTGTGTGTGTGTGCTTAGAGCTCAGGGTGTATGCCAAGCAGGCCCTAGAGACATCTTTACTCTCGACAGTTCTTAGGCACCTTAGAGGCAAGAGGATCGGAGCAACAGTGCTTTGCAGAGGACCTCGAGTACTGGCACACGAGAGCTTTGGATGAGTGGCAACCTCAGTGTCTGAAGTTCTGTGAAAACCCCCAAACCAAAACCCTATAAGACCCTAAACTTCCCTGAATGGCTTGAGGGAGCCGGGAGTCAGACCGAAACCCTTCAGCCTGCAATCCTTAACCTGCTGAGCCCTAGAAGCTCCTCCATTCTGATTCTTGAACCCGACTGACTGTTTCTGTGACTGTCCACCTCTGACTCCCGCACGACCCAGAGTCCCAACCACCGGTTTAAACAACGGATGAGTAGCCGGAACTTGTGAAAGAAGCACCCCAAGCCCGAACATCGGCGTGTAGTGACGGGTATATTTACCACAGTTCTATTTGGATTCTATCCTAAGCAGCATTATTAAATACGTGCCCTGAAGCCCTGTCTTTCCTTGTTCGCAACAAGACATCCCTACTACTCGACCCAGGCTTCTGTGAGATGCGAATCTTAGAAGCCTTAAGCAGCCGGCGTGACAGCCGTTTTCCCTAAGACCCTCCTCTGATAGGGCTCTGAGTAGTGAGCATTCAGATCCCTCTTTTCGTCCCTATGTATACCTCATTCTACCTTCTTCTACCTGGGCTCTTTCTTATTCTACATGGTTCTACCTTTACTCTACCTGATATACTTCAGGTTTTGTGGCTGCTAGCCCCAGTTCCCAACCCGTGAACTTGTGAACGGGCGCCCTGCAGGCATCTTCTCCGAAGAGTGACTGATCCCAATCACACATTTCTATAAACCATGAAACCCTGAACCCTAATAGAGGGGCCGTAACAAAGACTTATACTATTTTGGGAGCTTACTTATTATAAGTATATAGTATAATGAACCCCAATACCTTGTGTTCTAACTATAAAGGCCCCTAGTTTAAACCATCAAGCCCTGAACCCCAAACCCTGAAAACCCCGAACTCCCAAACCGCAAGCCATAGCAGCAACGACGAGCCGAACGATGCTAGAACCGCGCCATGCCTCATGAGGATCTTGTGCGGTCGCCAACTTCCAGAGCCCGACGACAATACCAAATCTAACAGGCTGGAGCATCCCATCCATAGTTTCCGGGAACCTGCCACAAGGATGCCACGGAATCCTGACAACCCTCAGAAACCTTCTGTGCTAGTCTTCTAAACCGTAAACCCCAAACCCGAACCATGGCCTTTTGCTACTACGAAGCCTTGGGCGTTGGCCGGTCAGCATCGGCCGCCGAGATCAAGTCAGCATCTTTGGCCGCAGAGAGGCTTCGACTACACAGCATACACTTATGCAGGGACACTAAGAGATCAGATGAGACCCTGACTTGTAGTCAGCTGTTTGGGGTCATGTTTTCATAAAGGGCGCGGGCAGTAGAGTAGGTTACCCATAGAATCCAAAACAACAATTTTTTAATACAGCAGTTCAGAGGCCCAGGTAGGGCCACAACAGTTGCGCTTTCTATTACATGTAGTCGACCAGATAGGCTCCGGTTGGCTATACGGGTAGTTCTCTAAAAAAGGGTACCATTTTTAGATCTCAAATGTATGCCACCCTTCTAAAAAGGAACATAACCCTAAGAAGCACCCTATTTTAGAGAACTACCCCCACCCATCCATCTCTCGCAATCCTTCAGTATCCTGCCCAGAAACATGCGACGTCTAATCAGCGGATCAGCCCTGAACCCTTGAAACCCTAAACTCCTAAATTCAGAAGTGCTAAAATCCCGAGCAAGGCCCGTAGTTCCAGGGTTTAGCCTTTGGGGTCGAGGGTTTATGGGTAACAGCTGTTCAGGGCTTAGGGCCGAGCGGTTAGGGGCCATGGGCCAATGAAAGCCCGGATGGTCTGCAGTGATCCATGTGGCATCGTCAGGTTGTTTTCAATGCCGGATTCGGGCGTACCACGGGTTGAGGGTTCAGGGTCAGCCAACTTGTTCTGACATTTTCCCAAGCGAAACACGAATTTGGAACTCCGCTGCTACAGCTGAAGGTTTGATTAGCAGGCCGAAACATGGCATCTGGCAAAGGGCCTCCAGCGCGAAACCGCTGCTTACAGGTTCTTTGGGCTGTTGCAAGAAAGATTGTATGCACCATAGCCATAGTTACCTTACCCATGACTGGCAACCCTCCGTACTACGTCCTAGGATCCTTGGTTTCTTCAAGCCCGGTCTTCAAAAGCGAAGGCCTCGAAGCCCGAAGCCATCGAAGCCTTAAAGCCCTGAGCCCTGATCCCACAAGCCCTCGACCACGCAAGCCAGAAGCCACCGAAACCCCTGCATAAACTCGAATTCCGAGGCTGACGCAGGGGTGAAAAGTCCTGCAAAAAGGCCCTTGCAAACTTTGAGCAACCGGTAGTAGCAATACTATACTACAATCGTCCTTCAGAAACTGCAAGGGCATATCATGAATATCTGCGTGCAGTTCCACACCCAGCGACCGCATTTTGTTGATCCCTTTCAAGGGCCTGAATTATAAAGCCACTCACAAAGCGTCAAGAAGACCTACAAACAGCTTAAAGCAGCTCATTGGACAAACCCCAAGCCTTCCAGACTCGCGAACCTGGCCCAGGCATACCTTTCCCGGGTCCGCAAGCTCCATCCAGATGCTGGGCCATTTTAGCTTCAGCGTTTATGGGATGTTATGGGGTGTTTCGTTTGGTTATTGTGACACATACATATATATATATATATATATATATATATATATATATATATATATATATGTATATATATATGTATATATATATATACATATATATATATATATATATATATATATATATATATATGGTTATTCGGGGATGTATAAGAACCGATAAAGCAGAAGGGGGTGTCAGTGGTTTGCACCAGGGACATATGGTGATTTTGCTGAACTAGTGCAGCTTACGTTTTGTAGACCGCGTAGTTGGCATCTGTGCTGAAGTTGGTAATCAACATTAGGGTGTAGGGGTTAGGATTGTGCAGCATTAAGTAGAGGGTTTAGGATGCAGATTAGGCCGATGATTCGGAGACCATAATGGGATAAAAGAGGGAGACATGGACTAAGCCCAAACCCTAAGCCCTCAAACCCTAAACCCTTGACCCCTGCAGCCGTAACTTTTGAACCCCTACAGCGCTATACCCATACAGCTTTCAACCCCAAAGCCACACCGAGAGCCCAGGACGTGGTCGGGCGCGGGGCGCATGCTGCGAGCGAGTACCATCGGGTCAGCGAGGCCATCCGTTGGGGTGAAAGAGGGCTGGGAGGGAAGGCGGCTTAAAGTCCCTTCCTTTGGATAAGGTCGTAGGGTTGAGGGATAGTTCCTAGACCCTGAACCCTAAAGCAACAGGAGTCTGTGGGACTGAAATGTATGACCCAGTTCCCCTGGCCCAAGTGGCCTTGCTTGGATGTGTTGGTGACAGGGGATGCAGACGCACAAAGGGGCTGAACAAAACCCTAAAGCAACCGTGTAGTCACTGTCGTAGCCGATTCCCTTATCGGCAGTAACAAAGCCGTGCTTGAACCCATAGAGGAATAGCCGGCACCCCTTACCAACGCTATGAGCACCTGAAAGCCCCACATACTCCCAAATCCGCTCACCAGGTTGTAGGCTTAAACTAGGTCATACTGGGATCCTTAAATTATGATCTCAAAACTACATCCTTAAATAAAGGGGCTTTAGATTCCCTGGGGCTTTAGCCCCGATCCCCATACGGCAGGCCTTCGAGGTGCTCGGAGACACAAGCCGGCGAAAGGACATTTCATTCAGGTTTCGGGTTTGGGTCCAAGGCCGCGGTGGTGTTTAGGTGTTGTTCACACAGTCTTTGGGTGGTTTGGGGCAGAGGGTTCCATTCATCGCCTTTGTACAGGCTTCGTTAATCTGGTATGACGGTCGTGTGAAGGGCAACTCTAGCGGATGTTATATTGTGTGTCGTTCGGTTTCAAGTTTCTGTTCTTCCCTCGCATTGGCGAAGCTGGTTTTTGTTTCAGATGTTGTTCGGGATATGCTTCGGCTGCAGCTTTGAGTAAGGCTTAGTATGAAGGGTTTAATGATATTTCACAGACAAACTAATCGCAGCAACAGACTTTGGATGCAGTGTCTTGCTGCATGTTCCTTCTCTAGGCTCCCGTGCAAACAGGCTGCATGATCAAGCCAGAAATCTATGAACCTCCTCGCCTAGATCAAGAAGCGCACCTCTGAGTGCCAGATCATAATAGATTATACTAGATCCTTACCACTGCAGTATATTATTGTATATACTTCTTTAGAAGCCGACGGCCTCTGTCGAGGAGTATGACCAAGCGACGGACTTGAAGCAGCGCGCAACAGACAGAGGTAAGTTGGCAGAGTGTTTTTGTGAATGCTATAGGGGCCTATAAACAATTACCACTGCCATTTTGGTGGTTCCTTATTGTAGTTAGAGTAATTATACTGGGCCCCCGGACCCAATTCTAATTATTAAAGGCCCTATATTACGGGGTTTAGGTTGTGGGCTGCGGCTACTAGCATCAAGCCTGACATTGTGAACCCTAAACCCAAGACCCAACACCGTCAAGTCAGATCAGAGGGCTGAACTGTCGATGAACAAACGACCGTTTTCTTAAAGGGGCTTCGCATCAGGATCCCTGGTATGACATTTAAGTTTCCAGCTTTTGCATGTTAGAGTTTTATAGGTTTAGGCTAGCGTGTGGCCAATGATTAGGGCTTATAGGTTTGCAAGTTAAGGGATGTTCAGGGATTCTAATTTTGGTGATTTCCATTCTTATCGTGGCATGGATGTTTATGGTATCAGGGATGCTCATGGTCTACACGGCTGATATTCGGCTGATGTTTTCTGTTTCAACATACGGAAAACCTCCCCGAGGTTCTCGGAGGCATGCCGACTCTGCAACATCGTCGGCACGTTCATCGCAGGGTGCAAGAGGCAGGCATTGCTCCAGACTGTACCTGTTAAACATGATAGGTCATATCCTTTATATTTATTTACCCTATATATATATATATACATATATATATATATATATAGCGAGACTATACCAGCCCTGCAAGACCTCGCTCTCTTCCTGTTAAGGCCCTTTGACTAGGCCGTGAAGTCTGGAGCCCGGACTTCTTGCAGATGTCTCGCATTGTGAACTTTTGGGTGGTTTTGATAGGCTCAATGCTAAGGGGCTGGATGTACTAGCCTGCAGCTTGTGGACTCATCAGACTGCAGCCTAGACCCTGAATTGTAGTATGTGTTGCTGCAGAACCTGGTTCATGGCATTACGGACCTTTTTTAGGAAAGCAAGGTAACCACCAACAAAGGTACTACAACTCACAATCTAGAGTCCAGGCAGAAGAAATGAAATCCCGGGCCGGCCCGGGCCAATCCCAGCGGATACCGGCAATGCCCAAGCCGTTCTCATCCTGCGAGCAGCAACCTGCGTACGAAGGCCGTGCTCCCGATTTCGACGCTTGGGCGCAGCGCGGGCAAACTGAGGCCTCCCGTGAATCCTTACGGGTACTTAGAAATAATCTTTAATTTTGGGTCATTATAATCCCTAAGAAACAGCTGAAATTAAAATTGTTGCTAGGGTTCTAAGTTCAGTCTAGAGTCGAATCGAGCTCAGATTGACTGCCTAGGGTGTACGACCTACAGGGGTTGGGTTTTGAAGGGCTTAGTTTTGATGTTAAGGACGGGGGTTTCGTAGACCATGGTCTGCACTAACCACACATGACCATCCAGTGAACTTACAGTAGAAGCCAGAAGGTTGGAATATCATTATCCTAACCCTTCTATGGTAAATTATAGGGGATCCTACCATGAAACCATATTCCAACTTTCTGGAGTTCCCTGTACACTATTTCTATTATTTCAATGATTTACAATTATTTACAATATATATATATATATATATATTGGTATATATATATATAATTATATAGAAGAAATAGGGTAGCTAAATAGACCCCAGAGGTATATTACAGCTTCTGTTGGAGGCTTTGCGCTGGTATCGCATGCCCATCCCAGAGTTCGCCTGGCGCGGCTCGCTCTGTCCCAAAGGGTCCAAGTGTCATCCTGGTATATGGGAGTTTCCGAAAATAGGGGTACCTTATTCTGGGGGCCGTATAATCAGGATCCCATTATTTAGGGTACTATATTAGGGTCCCCTATTTTCGGAAACTCCCATATACTTATAGGGCATTTTGGGGATCGTATGTCCCATGATGATACTTGGACCCTTTGGGTGTGTTTTGTTATTTTGAGGTTGGAGGTTTGGGTTTGAGGTTGGGTTTTGGGTTGGGCAGCGGAACAGGTTTAGGGTTCTGGTTGTGAGTTGGGGGGCTCTAGGGTACGGCCTCGTCGTTTTGGCAGAGGCGACCTGGCGTTGCGACTGGGGGTTAGCAGTGGCCCGTAGCCGTAGTCTTTCTGGAGGTCTCTGTAGTAGTTGAGTTTCCGATGGCTCCAGGTCTAACTCAGGCGCCCGTGATGTCAGTTCGGTAATGCCCTGTCTTGCTGAAAGCAAAGCCTTGAATTTCATCCGAAATACCATCGTAGGTGATTGGGCTTTTGTGTGAGGAGGGGTTCAGGTTCTAGGCTCTGCTTGCAATGCTTCTATCTTTGAGCTGTGAAGCTCCAGAAACGGTCGGTTCCCGCACCTTGCGCGCAGTTCGCGCCTGAACTTAAACCCAGCCCTTCCAGTTCTGAATCCTGAGCCGTTTCAAGTTACAAACCTTCTTGAAAAAAAAGGGGCGCCCCTAAACCGCCTGAGACTTGAAGCGCCTGGACTTTAGAAATCCAAGCTCGCACACCCTGAAGCTTTAATGTCATGCTTTTGCCCAGAGGGTCCAAGTATCATGCTGGTATATACTTATAGGGCATTTTGGGGGTCTAAGTATGTCCCATGATGATACTTGGACCCTTCGGGTTGGTTTCTACGTATCATCCTTTCTGTGATCAGTCTCACACTTTGAATGTAGCTATTGCTCTACTATCATTGTCACTGTTGTTGCTACCGGACAGGGCAAGCGGCACATCGTTTCATGACATCTCCACCAGCAGACCATACTCATAAACGATCATTCCCACGATCATTTTGCTTACCATTGTTTTCACCATTACCATTGTCACAGCCATTATCACTGCTACCACAACTGCCATCATTATCAGTTGATGGCTACAGTTTCAATGCTAGCTAATTGTGTTTTAGGGCCTCTAGGGGCTGTGCCAACGGGCGGGCAGCGCAAGTAGAAGCCTGAAGCAAGGCCACACACCCGCCCTTGTGTTTGACCCTCCCCTTGCCCACTCAGCCCGCGTCGGCCCTCCATGTAGCACGCACCCCTCCTATTAATGATGCGCGCCCGTTGGGGGCTCCCGCAACCCACTCAAAAACTGGCAAAACATCGCCTCGCGCCGCAGGGCCGGTTGCGGGTGCCCGAGTGCTCATGATGCTCACCGGCTGGCCTCCTGTGGTCGTCCACGGTGGCCCCGAAACCCGCCATAGCCTGGGGAATGGCTGCGAAACGCGTGCGCGTTCCGGCGCGGGCCGTCGTGGCTTTTCGGGGACCGAGCGCTGCCCGATTTCTTCCAAGTGGCCCAACCGAATCGCTGACCCAGTCCCAAAGCTGAGCCCAGGCGTTCACAGCCTTTGGTGCGAGATTTCCGGTCGCCAGCAGGCGAAGTGCTCGAGTGTCAGCTAAGGGTTTCTTGCACATTTGATCAAGGTGCCTTAAACGAATCTTTAACGGCCCTTTTTTAACAGCCGAAATTTTTACCAGTACGTACTATTTGCGCGGCTCCTTGTTATAATGTACAATTATAGTATAATATGCCCCAAAACCCTAGTCTTATGATTACGGCCCCTATATTATGAGGTTTCTGTAAGGGTTGCTTGAGGGGAATTGTCAAGGTCTGTAAGGGTCCTTGGAAGGTGCTTTGGTGCAGTTCGGGGGATTAGGGTTCATGGCTTCGGGTTTTAACAGGTTTGCAATGGTCGATACCCATAGGCTCCATCGTAGTTCCTTTTTGGGATTACCTTATAGGATTCTACATGTGAACCCCAACAAGGAACTACTATGGAGCCTAGGGGTATCTGAAACATCAGGAGTGAGGGGAAGCAAGGCGGTGCTGTACCCCAACAGCTCTGCACTGGGCTGCAGAAGGACTGTGGGGCCAGGAACCCCAAACTCCGAAACTCCAAGCTCTTGCTGGCTTCCGGCAGATGTCGCTTGCGGCCTTCACCGAGCTGTTGCGCCGGCGATGGCGCAGTGCGAGGCCAGCAACACGGCAGCGGTTCAGGTGTGTTCCATACCTCAGTATCTTTTGATTAATGGAAAAGGTTGGGACGGGCAAGATGCAAATCTACGTTAGATAGGATTGAGCTGCTACAGTAAAAGAGGCCAGTAAAATTAACTACGAGTAAGATTAGCTAACGCCCATCATCAACAGAATGGATTAACAAGTGCTTGACAAAGACACCCGCACTAAATATCACATTGGCACCAACCCAAAACCCTAGACTTTAACCCAAGGATAACCCACGATTAGTCCGAGCCGTATGTCCGGTGCCGGGTCCAGCTCCCTGCAGGGTCGGTTTGGGAGTTTCCGAAAATAGGGGGGTTACCCTATTTTGGGGTCCTTATAACAAGGATCCTATACTACTTAGAATACTATATTAGGGTCCCCTCTTTTGGGAAACTCCCGTTTGGGTTTCGGGAGGAGTTGCTATCATGTCTTGTTCGTCTTTGCAGGTTTTAGATCGTTGTTTAGACTACATGCATCTGCAATACTGCTCTTAGTATTTTTAAGCAATCATATATTTCGTAGATTTCATCATCTTTCCGCTCAGCCCTTTCGATGAATGTAGGATGATGTAGGAATGTGGGTCAATCGGGGTCCCACCTTTAGCTTTTGGCGGGCTCTTGTAGTTGAGCGTTCTATTCGCAAAGTAAGATGGACCCTAAACCCTAAGTTTCGTATTTCTAGGGTATCGGGTAAGAAGGAACAAGAGGGCCCCCAGCCCTAAATCCGAAGCAACACGATAAAAATCTCCCTACACCCTAAACCGTGCGAAGGGTTGCGCAAGAGCTCCTGAGGGCTGAGTTTTCGTCTGTCTTTTGATGTGCCCGTAATGTGGGCCGTCTCTCCTGGCCTCAGGGAGGCCTTCTTTGGAGTCGCTCGTTCGCTTGGGACTTCGGTGAAAAAGGGGCTCAAAAAAAAAATCGTGCGTCTAAATCCTAAACCCTGAACACCAAAACCGGAGAAGACATGCCTCAACGCCTTAACGACATCTATGCAGTTGAACAGGCAAACTTCCTTATGAAACGCTCGTAAAGCCCTTCAGAAAACTCATACAAAGTCCTTTAAAACCCAAGAACGCCCACCATGAAACATGAAATCCCAAACACCTTGAATAGGACCTATACTATCGTGGGGTTCCTTGTTCTAATCATAGGTCAATGGGCCCCAAGGACCCTATTGTAATTATCAAAGGCCTCTATATCAGCTGGGTTGTCTTTTGGGATCTGTTTAATTTCCCCTACTGTTTTGTAGAGAACCATAATAGTAAGTAACTTTCAAAGGGCTTGAAGGACAACTCAGCTAGGTATCCCTTGGACCAGACCGAGGCATCCCTGCTTGCACATTCGCTCGACGCGGCAGCAGACTCGCTTGCTCCTGGGCGTACTCTCCTGGGTTCCGGTTTAGGAACTCTAGTTTTGTTCGGCACATGATTTCATAAGGGTGTTGGAAGGTTCCATGTTTGAAGTTAACTAGAGTTGCTTTTTGATTTTGTAGGGAGTGAGGAGCAGAACCTAGTTTGGGCTGATATTAGCAAAAGTTCAGAAAAAAAGCAAACGCGGTCCTTATTGTGGTAGCTGAAAGTCTTTATCGGTCTTTGATTCCTCCCCTATTGCAGTTAAAGAGGTCCTTCCATTGACCTAAAGGCTCCATGTACCCATATCGTATATACTTAGGCCTGAAAGGACCTATATATAGGGACCCCTCTAAGGCTTAAGTATCCCTGAGTCGCTCAGCCCTTCCTTCTCTACCCATAGGCTCCATAGTAGCTCCTTTTTAGGGACTAAGTTCCTTTTTGGGATTAGGGTTTAGGGTTTAGGCCTTATAGACTTCTAAATATGACCACCCAACAGGAACTACTATGGAGCCTTTGGGTACACCCTTCTTGGGGCTCCTTGAGCAGCCCAGACCTCAAACACCAAAACCCGAAAATCCTGAAACAGGAGACCATTATACACTTGGAGGCTTTCTTTTCGGGACCTCAGTACTGACGACAGGGATGTCTTGCTCGATTTCTTGAACATAGTTATTTGTTCAAGCTTTCATGTGAATAAGCTCCAACAGGGCTGTAATTAAGGGAAGCACCCCTTACTTTGTGGTCACAACAGAGGCTACACTGTTACAGTCTCTGGAAAGGCACGGCTGCGGCATCGCTTGCGTGACCCGCCGCGGCAAAGGTGGGAGAAAGAGCTGAGGATTTACGGCTCGACTCAGACCCGTCCTACAATAGGTTCTTGTTTCTTCATCGTCCAGGGTGTACTTTATGCCTAGAAAACCTACAGTTTGGGGATTCCTCGTTGTGGGTTCTCTGCATACTGCCGAAAACGGGGGGGGTTAAGGCAGGGCTTACGGCGAGAATCTGAGCTTGGGTTGTTACAGTAGGGTCTTTCGGTAGACTTCAAGGCTTTACAGGGAACTCCACAAAGTTGGAATATGGTTTCAGGGTAGGATACCCTATAATTTACCACAAAGGGTTTAGGGTAATCATATTCCGACTTTCTGGCTTTTGCTGTAGGGTTCAGGCAACCTCACTTTCGGAAGGAGCCCGCCAGGCCCCCAACCTGAGCCCGAAAAGGTGCAGCTTTACCTTAACCCTGAATAACCTACTCTTTTTAGGGTTCCTTATTATGATTTCCTTATATAAGTCCTTAAGAATCTAGGTTATTCCGGGTCAAGGTAAGCCTAGAAGTTTAGATATTAAGCTGAAAATCCCATTTTGAGCGGCAGGCCTGCTGCTTCCTCCACCTCGGGCGCTCGCTGGTGGAGGTGTGCTGTTCCTCTTGCTCCTAATCTGGAGGATGACACTTCCGAAATGGCTCAGTGGCCCATATTGAACTCCATCATGCTGGTTATACAAAATTCTGGGTGCTGAAAGGTTTATCGACCATAGAGGTAGCTGAGCTCTGAGGGAATGCCATGGAAGGCAAGGCCACCTGACGTCTACTACTTCTACTGGTACCCCTACGAACACACACTAATACCAGAAACGGTACTTTTACTAGTACGGCTTCTTTCAGTACTACTACAACAACGACGAGGGCTACCACCATCACCATTACCACCAGTACTTCAGCTTCACTGCTTGTGCATCTACGCCTGTGAAGCATGCAGCCTATTGCAAGTTTGCGAGGCATGCAGCCTATCGCAAGTTAGATGTATCTGCGAAACATAGGTTAAGCGAGGTGTGCCTCTGTCCTTGGTTAGGAACCTCGGCTTAAGCGATGAGTGCCTTTGCTCCACTGGAGCAGGGTTTGGGGTGATTATGGGGTTTATTAGGGTTTTCATGAACTCTTCCAACACGATTTTGAAAGGTTGAGCTTATCTTGCCTCACGCTTTCTCCACGGACACATCCACCAATGCCTTGATACACCCTGCACGCTACACCAAACCGAAACCCAGAATATGTCATCATGTTATAACACATGTTAAAATAGTAACAAGACTGACGATGATCAAGAGTTTTTCATACCAATTATAATGCTCTCTTGTAAAGACCACATATCCTAAACCTTTGGCTGCCCGAAAGGCCTCGTTTCGTCGCGACGGAGCAAAGTGAGCGGCTGCGCAGTCTGCTGGCCGCGGGGCGGGGCCAAGCGGCCCAGGCGTCGCAAGCTGACGCGTGAGCAGGGCTAGGGCGGTTCAGTGTGTGGGGCTCTGGGGTTGAGGGCTGAAGAATTCAGGTTCTAGCTGTTTGTATCACACGGTTAATGAAAACATATGTTGTGCGCGTCGGGAACCATTGGCCTTTGCCACCATCATCATCAGCGTCACTACCACCATCATCAGCATCATCACCGCCAGCTCTAGCAGCAGCAGCAGTGCCGCGACCCCGGCCGCCACCAGCACCACTACGGTTGATGATATAAATCTTGCATTACCCATAATAAGGAATATACCATAATTCCCATAGTTTAGGGTCCTTAAGGTAATGCAGGGTTTATATCATCAACCGCAGCACCTCATCGTGACAGGAGTTTGCCTGCCGACTGCGCACGCTGCTTGCTTGAACACGGAAGAAGCAGCAGGGTCCAGAACTTTAAGGCGTTGGGTTTGAGGGCTGTCGGGTTGAGGGCTTTCCAGGTTCTACGGTTTAGGGTCCAAGGTTTGAGTTTTGGATTTCTGCCTTTAGAGTTTGATGGTTTAGGGTTTTGTTGTTCACGGCTTTCCGATTTCAGGTAGTTTGGATTTGTGGCAGAGCGTGTGTTGGAGATGTACTCAACATCTCACCCTTAGTTGACACCTTGTTGCGAGGATTGCTGCGTTCAGCTATTCGCCTACGGTCCCGTTCTTTTGGCGGCAAGGGTTCTATCGAGAATCCTAGAGTTTGAGGTTGGAGGTTGTATGTTTCATTTCCATGTAAACATAAACATATGCAGGTACATACATGCATTCATGCATGCGTGCATACATACATACATTCGTTCGCATATGCGCGCACGCACGTACGTACATACATATCAAACCATGACAAAGCTAGGATGCCTTGATAGCAGCTCAATGAAATTCAGTCAATGCAGCACTACAAAATCCTATCGATATGTTTGTCGAAAGCGCCCATTCACATCTGTCCAAAGCCTCGTATACACTCTCCCCAGCAAACCCTATAGACAGCAGAGGCCACATGGCGTTTGAGATCTGAATACTTAGTAGCAGTACCCCCTTATATTCACTATATTCAGAATGCCACTTTCAAAATACTCCAAAGTCCTACAGAGACCCTATTCCAAGTATAGAGACGCAAAGCCCTAAACACTAAACCCTAAACCCATTTTCCACTTAGTCATGAAGGTCCTCATTATGCCTAAACCAGGCTCGAGTTGCCCCGGCTTGCGTTGCGTCGGCCGCGCTGTGCGCCGCTGCCGGCGGCGCAGGCACTCGTCGGCTGTATGCCTCTTTAGATTTGCATTGAAAGATTGCTCTTGTCTTCGATATGAATGAGGCTGAATTCAGTGTGATTACTAGGTAATGTTGGTATCTCGTTGCTGAGTTTGCAAGATTCTTTTGGAGAATGTTCTCTTCTGGTTAAAAGGGTTGTTCGGGGTTTTAGGGTTCATTGGGTCCACGGACTTGGGCGGCGTTCAGGGTTTAGGGTTAGGGTGCAAAAGGTCTACGGTTTTTAGGGTTTAGGGCTTGTAGGGTTGTCTATACCTTGAAATACTGGGTCTGTACTGGCTTGGCAGGGTTCTTTGATCGGGTGGTTTGGCTTTTGCAACCTATAACGCATACTGCTGGAAGTTCTGAAATCCCGGACTGAAACTTACCTGTGCTTTTATCTATCCACCCATCCATCCAATTAGCTGTCCATCTATGTTGCTATCTCTTTCTGTCGGCAATCTGATTACCTAAAAGGCTGGTAGGTCGAATCTGTCTCATTTCTGCCGCTGTATCCTTTAATATGTTCTATCTGTCAGTCTATCCGGGTAGTCATCGGCTTGATTTAGATGCTTGCAGTCGCCTTATTACCCTATAGGGCCCTAGGTGTCCGTAAGTGAGTAATCCTTTGGACAGAACGTTCATATTCCAGCGATGTGCCTACTATCATGTTCCTGGATTTGGTTGACCGGCAATTATCACATACTTTGCACGATACCCTTGAACCCTATCCATCCCTCACAACTCACAAATGGATAGTGCCGGTTCTTGTCATGTTCTTGTCCGTCAGCGGCACACTCGCTGGGGACGTTCCTGAACCCCAATACCCTGTGATTAGGCAACATGCCTTGACGTGCAAAAGGATTCTTAGTAATACTTAAGTGGAGCTCTGTAATTTCAGGATTTTTTTGATTTCAGGGGCATTGGGCTGTTATGGGAGCGTGCACCAGGCAGCTTTGGCGGCGGGGGTGGCCTGCATGTGCCTGGGCAAAGACATGCGGAGCAGCTCGATTCCGGAACAAGCATAGGCATGAACACAGGGTATGGGTGATGTATTTACGGATTTGTAAACTTGTGCACGCATGGTTTGAGGCTGCATTTGTACTTTCGAGGGATCAGTAATGAATACAGAGCGTCCGAGGCTCGGCTGTGGAAGTTGAGATAGCTGCTCGTACCCATGGAGTAGGTTGCTGTAACCCTAGCCCTTAACCCTAAACCCTAGGTCTGTAGTACAAGCCACTTTCAAGGTGCGGTCTGATTCGGCACAGGTCCGGACACTTGTCACAAAACTGCAGACTGCAAGCCCAAACCCTATAGACCTAAAGTGCAAAACCCGAAACCAACAAAATCCCAACCCTAAACCCTAAAACTAAAACCCCAAGACCCCCAACAAGTTGTGCTATTGCTGTTTAAGCTTGACGGCGACGCCCTCCGTGTAGGTTGGGTATCGGTGGCTGCAGCTCTGTTTGGCTTGCATCACGGTCCCGGCGTGGTGATGATCAGGCCCAGCAAAAAAGGGTGGGAACACCTCGAGGCTTTCGGTGTTTAAGGGTTTGAGGTCCGGTTTTGGCATGGTGGTTTTGAGGCTTCAGGGTTTTGGAGTTGTTGCTGGCGGTTTGGCAATGTCAGCAGTGTGGCTTCAGGTGGCTAGCGTCTAGGGCAATGGAGAATTTGTAATATGTATATACACATATGAAAACACACACGCGCATGTGTTCTTGAAGGTCCGATTTTGCATCCCTGTAGGTCCCAACGTTCTGGTTTCAGGTCTACCTAGCCCTGGATTGTACTATATGAGGTTTGCGAGTCACCAAATTTTATGATCTCGGTATTTGGGTCTTTCGCGTGAGAGAACAAGGTATCCAGTAAAAAGGGTATCACAAGTCAGTGCCTACAGGTAGGCTTCTTGGATTCTACCTTGCTTGTCGGCGTGGTAGCTCGAAGCAGAGTCTGGACTTCTAATACCTCGAGACATGATGCCTCATATGATGCTGGACCTATGTAACCCCCCCAACCTAACGTTGCAAATCCCATGCCCAAAACCCTTGAACCCCAAGCGTCTGGAACCCTCAACCCCAGAAGCCTACAACCCAGAACGAGCTTTCATAGAACTCTTCTAGAGCCCCTATACGCCACCCTTACTAGTATTCCTGTCATTACTAACATGTCTATTTAGGTTCCGAACGCGAAAAGCCTGTAACACCCTTGAATAATTTTAACGGGCCCTCTACAGACGGCTACAGCAACCTCTCCAGGAACCCTATAACGGTTCAGGATCCGAATTCTAAGCCCTGAAGTGCAGAGCTTTTCGGTTGCCATGGCTGACTCGGGCGGGTCCCCCGATGTGCACGTCAAGGCGGGGCCTTCCTGCAGTCGGGAATCCATGGTGGGGTTGGGGCTGAGGGGTTTGGGGTGTCTAGTTTAGGCTTCAGAGTCTGATATTCAATGTTTGGTGTTTTTTTGGGGGGCGAGTTTGGGTTTGTTGGGGTGTTTTAAGGGGTTTTGTGCACGGGATTTTGGGGATCAGTTAGATTAGAGCTCAGGTTCCCTTCAGAATAAGCACCTACAATTTCGGGACTCCCTGCAAAAGGATATTGCCTTTAAACATTTTGGTTAAGGCTGCTTAGATGTTGTTTTCGGCTTCTCTGTTGTCCCAGAACTTTGGGTGCTAGACGTTTGCCATCGCGACTTCTGTGCTGTAGGAGGTCAAACATGCTTTTCACTTTTGGGCTGTTCCTGAGTAAGTACGTAGGTTTTGAGTATAAGGCCATAAGTACAGCGACCCAACCCTAACACTGAACCAACCAGAGGTTTACAGCCGACTTTGCTAAGTTGCCAGGAGCTCCTGCTACCGCCGGACAAAACCTTCGTTTACAAGGCTGAGCCTGCATTAGGGCGGGCCGGTTCTACCGCTGAACTAGGTTTAAGACGAATAGTTATAAGGTATTTTGTGGGGATTTCACCTCTGGGAGTCACAGGCACTAATAAGTAAGCATACTCAGTCAAAATGCCTGCAGCACATGATGCGAGCCATTCTTAGCGCTGGGCATGCTGCGGATTACACTCTCTTCAGAGCTTAAATCCCAAATCTGAAGAGTTCCTAAACCCCAAGACCAAACCCCCAAATCCTAAACTCCGCATTGTGAGCCCCCTGCGCCGCCATGGTCGCACCACTGACAAACGAGAAGCGTGCGCGCGAGCTGTCGAAGGGCCTGCACAGCTGGTTTTGCGAGGCCCCATGACAAGCTGGGGATGTTGGGCTTATAGGGTTTAGGATTCAGGGGTCTTGGGTGAGGGCTAGCGGCTAGGGCTGAAACTACACCCTCCAGTTGAAACCGCAGAGTGTGACGGAGGAGCTGCAGATCCCGATCCGGAAGCGGGACGCAGGCCCATGCAGGTGTTCGCAGCTTTCCTCGGCGCCTCGGGGTGAGCTTCTGAATGGGCCAGTCCCAACTCAAACGTATTTTGAGTTGTGGTGTGCATGTATTAATATATAGAGGGTTTAATACCGTCAATTACTCTAAAAAGCCTTAATAATTGTTATAGCACTATCCAAACTTATGATGCAATCTTCCCGCCAACGTTTTGAAACAGAACCAGCGTTTTGGTGACCGGTGGCCTCGCCCTTCAGCGCAGTCGATGAGGTGTGCTGCACAGCTCCAACCCGCTCTTCAGCCAGAGAGCCGCCATAACAGACCTGCGCAAGCCCTACCTTGTGACACAACGCTTCCCAACCGTCCACACTGGACGATGGTTGCATTACCCGGATGTCTACGTGGCCAAGCAAGAAGTCCTGGACGCAGACAACAAAGCCACGCACGAAAGCAAGCTCTGGCGATTACTGCTGTGGCGTTTTTCTGGGCATTGGCAGATGTCATCACAGAGCTTGGCATGGAATCAAAGGTATGCTTTGTGCCAAGTCGTACACAGGGCAAAAGACTCAACCGGATGCCAGGGCCTCCCCGGTGAGCTGTCCAGTAACGAGCTCTACGTAATCATGGCTGTGGCAGAGAGCAACAGCATTGCCCGGGTGGGGCGATTTTCGCTGCATTTTGGGGCACCGAGAACTGCGCCAAAACATACCTGAAGGTGCCACTCAAAACTGGCAGGGCATCCGCCGCGTACTATGTAAGGATCACGTGGCCAAGCTCTGACCCAAGCTGGAGAAGACCATCGGGAAATTGTATCCACAACTTCCTGCCAAGCTGAAGAAGAAAGTTGACATCTTCGACGTCGAGCCAGCTCGGTGTGGTGCATTTATCCATGCGAAGCAGGCGGCTTGACTCAAAGTTAAGTTGCCCCGTATGCTCCTCATGTCGCTGTCATACTAGCCGATTTTGGGATGCTTTGGGTGCCCTGCAAGCACCGGAAGTCCCTGTAATCTTCAACCTTATTAAACACGAAGAGTTTAAACCCTAAACTGTGTGAGCCAAGGTTAAGGCCCTGCGTGCCATGGGCAGCACTGACTGTAAGCGGTGAGGCGACTGCCCGTTCCCGCAAGTTTCAGCGCTTACACGGCTGCGGGCGTGCCTGATCCGGAGAACGTGCAGCATTTTTCGAAACAAGTTGCATGGGCGAAGTTGCTTAGCTCTCAAAGACATGTCCTACAAAGACATCAAGATCACCATGCTGCCGAAAGCACCGATGTCCAACAGAAGCTCGTCCTGTCCGGGCACTGAAACATCATTTGCCGGCACAGGCTTACGCCCCTAACAAATCCTAAGCCCTAAACCGTAAACCCCAAGCCTAAGCTTTTGACTCCAAGCCTTTATAAGCCCTCAACTGAAGCCCTGCGGTTAGAGAAGAAAAGGAGTTGCCAAAAATTCATCAAATTCCTGAGCCTGGGGGTTTCTGAGATGTTTCGGCACATCGAAAATATGTGTTCAAGCTTCAACCTCGGCATCAACCCCAACCAAAGTCCTTAAGCCTGAACCCTGCGACAAAAACTCCGAACGCCAGACTGTGTTTTGCACAGAAATCAGGAGTTTCATCCACGGTGGGGAGGTCGAGTTTCAACGGTTCGAGACTTCAGGTTCGTTGGATTATCAGACATAATCAGTGGGGTCACATAGAAGGGGTTCCCTTTAAGGGCTCCCTCAAGGATACCATGCGGTTTCGGGCTTACGGAGAAGATTTGGACTCACGAAGGCCTCGAAACTGCACGTATATTTTTGGTTTAGGCCTAGGGGCTTGGAGTTTCGGGTTTAGGGTTCAAGGTCATGGATGGTCCCAACTTCACTTGATGAGTGACCTCCTCATGTCGGATCTTCTGACTGCTTTGTGTTGCTGGGGTTGACCAGGATCAGCAGCGCTATGTTTCGGCTACACTGTCTTCGTGATTCCTAATTACTTGCTTCTATCTTCTTCATTTGGCGCACTCGCATGGTTCACTTTCTTACAGGGTGTTGGCAGTGTGGGATCTCACCAGCCGCTGCATAATTGAGAGCCGATTGCGGGGCAGATCCTTTCATCGTGTGCGCCTTTAATTGGATGGATCTTCATCACCTCTTAAGCGCGGGGAACCTTGAGGTTCGGGTTTAAAAATTTGGGTTCAGGTTGCAGGAATTGCCCTCAACCCCAAAACCCAAGTTGGGGAAGTCGGCGTTAAGGATGATGCCGAGAGTCTAAGATATTACCAGAGTTGGGCTTTGGCAATGACTGAGAACCTTCCCAAAGGGTCCAAAGTACCTAGCCTATTATATATATATATATATATATATATATAGAATGTAGGGTTTCCGAATTACCATTATGATTAGGGGAAGTAACCCCGATTGCAGTACCCAGGACCCTTTGGGCTTCATTGAAAGTGCCCAGGAGCAGACGGTGGGTTGGAAGTTTTCTTCTCTTGCAGGAGCTATGACCCTTAACCTCAGCATCGTCACCCTGAACCCTACAGACATAAAAAAGAGTTAACACAAACTTTACATCCTACAGAAGTGCCCTCCTCAATACCAACCCTCCCAAGTTTTGCAACCCACATCCCAAAAAGCGCGATCCCCTTACACTCCTTACCAAAAGCTTCATAGAGCCCTGAAAGAAGCTTCATAGAGCCTGCAAAACGTTCCCCACAAAATCTTACACACCGTTTTTAACATTTTTCTCAGACCCGACTAGAATGCCAATGCCTGTACAGCACTTTGAAACACAATCCGATTTGGAACCCCGTATAGCTTAATAGAGGCCCTAGAGTGCCCTGCCCCTGTAGAACACCAAAAAGTTTATCTTCCCCTCGCAACCCCACCAGGTCGTCGGCTCTGAGAAGAATCTGAAAGAGTACAACGAGAATCGGAGAGTGGCGAGACTTGGCGCAAAAGAGTTCCGGCTTTAGGGCTTTTAGGGTTCAGGGCTTGGTGCGTTTTCGGGAGAGAGTTCCCAAATATTTACCACTGACACAAGTCAAGGGTTCAGATCTCGGCAATCGCCGGGCATCGCTGGAAAGAGCGCAACGGTACTGCCATTTTACAGGAGCTGGCCAAAGAGGGAGGCTCGGTATATTTTCAGCTGAAGGCAGGGGGGAAGCCCGTCTTGCCAAGTGTCTCTCGGAGTCTTGGCCGACCACCTTCTCCACTGATGGCTTTCCGCTGGGAGCGGTGCCCTCCCTGAGCACAAATTCGCAAGCCCTAAACACCAAAAGCCCTGAACCCTGAATTCAACATTCAGGGAACCCTAAACCGTATACCCTATCAAACCTAAACCCTACTATACCCTATACCCGAGACCCTGACCGTTGTACCTCACCCATGCCCCCAACAGGCCCGAAACCTAAAGCTTGAGTTCTAACTTCCTGGAGCCTAAGCTCCGCTCCCCCAAGCATCTGAGGACAGAAGGCGCCGAGAAAGACTGGACCGCCATGTGCGCTGCTCTCTTTCGGATGTAAACTTATGTTTAGGGTTCAGGGTTTAGGAACAAAGCTCTACGGGGCCACTTCAGTCAGTGTCGGTATTCGTATCGAGTGTAGTAAGCATGCACTGTAGACTTAAGCGCCAAGAGCGTTCCCATATAGGCTTTTAAGGGCCAGTTTAAGCTCAAGCAGAAACGGCACATGTGTCGTTAGGGGGACTCCGTGCTTGCTTGTGTGGGTGTCACCGGATATAGGAACTGAGGGATTCGAGTAGCTTAAATGAAAGGGGAAAAGCAGGGACCCTTAATGGGACCCCCACCCTATAATGGGCTATATTAAGGGTATATAATAGCTATAATATTAAGGGTATATACCTAGGGGTCCTTATCAAGGCTCCCTCCTGTTCTGCTGTGATTCAACAAACTCAAAGCCCAAGTACGAAGCCAGAGCTGATAGTCTTAAACCCCCTGACCTTAACCCGGAAACACTAACCCTGAACCAGTAGCTCGATTTCGCCAAAACTCCTGAAGGCAATGGGCAGTCCTCTAAATTAGGGTCCTGCTTTCAGGCCCTCTTTGTCACGGTGCCGTACTATATTGGGAACCTACCCTGGTTTAGAGAACTACCCATATCCATATACATGCCCAAGAGCCTTCTCTAACCGACAGTCTTAAGCGTGAGGTACACGCAATTTCGCGTTAGCCATGCCTTGGGCACGGTGCCATATCGCTGGGACCAACGTGGTGCAGACGGTCACGGGGCAAGCTTAGGCGATTAGGTGAGTTCTCGGTGATCAAGTGCATAGCAATCAGCGCTGGATCGATAAAGGTGGGGGATTAGAACCAGCGGACTCTCAATCCTTGCAGCCTTGAGCTCGATTCACAAATCTCTGGTTTTTGGAGCACTTCCAGAGAGCGCCAAGCAGTCTTAGGATCTCTGGGAACTTTCGACTTTGTTGCAGATCGATGTAAGACTGTTAAGACTCTACTTCTGTCCTTTCAGTCGCTACGTTGCTTTTTTTCACGGTTTAGGGCTTAGGGGTTTAGGGTTTAGGGCTGTTAGCTACTATCACCTCGACCTCAGCATGGGAGCTTCAGGAAGTGCACGACGATCGGTCCATTTATTTACCTAATTACCTATAAATCCATCTGTCTGTGTGTATCTGTCTAATTCTATCTCTATGTTTATCTACATATCTATCCGTCTACCTACCTGTCCATCTAACTGTCTTGCTTATCTATGTATCTACCTATCTATCCACCTGTCTGTCTTACCTTCTGACTGTCTACCTAGCTGCCTATCCACCTGGTCTACCTATCTACCGTTTATCGAGCTGTTGATCGATCTATCTATCGAAAGTCTAACTGCCTGCCTATCTACCCATCTATCTATCTATCTATCTATCTATCTGTCGCTTAATGTCTTTCTGTCTTTCTCATAAACTCTCTCTATCCCGCAAGGTCTCTAGCTCTGAATCTCCCAAACTATCCGTCTGTTGTAGAGATAAGGCAACATACGAGTACGTGCCCGCAAAAGCCATATTCTCAGAGCTTGGACACCTAATGACCCCCGCTTTGCCTAAGGGCCGGCACGAAAGGATGCCCATCATAGCAAGTGTCGAGCAAGAGACTTTTCATGATTTGGTATATTTCCTCATCTGGAACTGAAGATGCCAAAAACGAAACCTTAAAACCCTCTCAAGTCCAAACCTCTAACCCTCAGCCTGTCGATCCCTTCATGGAGATTGTAATACGAGTCCTACGGTCCATTAATGCTCTCCACATCTTGAAGCTGAAACCGAAGCCCCAGGTCAGCCCTACACGACGGCCTCTCTACTGGAGGTGCCAGGGCCCCTGAAACCCTACTGCCCTAAAGCAGCCATAAACGCTTAAAGCGAAGAACTCTCAACAAACACGTAAGCATAAATAAACTGGTCAAGGTAGTATCGCGTTGTGGTTTGAATAGTTTTTGCTTAGGTGCTGTTGTGATGCCAAAGCTGTCGGGTGCATTAGGGCTTACACTGCTCTACGATTCGGCTTTAGGGGCTTGAGGAAGCCCGTAAATGACCTAAGCCCTAAACCTTAAGCTCCTAACCACTAACCCCCTAAACCCCGAAACCCCTAAACCCTAAACTCCTAACCCCTAAGCCCCCAAACCCGGAAACCCCCAAACCCTAAACTCCTAACCCCTGATCCCTAAAGCCCGAAACCCGTAAACCCCAAGCCCCTTAACCCTAAGGGTTCGGCTGATTGAGCTTCGGTCTGAAAGGCGTAGAAGTAGCTGTGGGTGTAATTAGGGCTTAGGGGTTTTAGGGGTTTGGGGTTGAGGGTTTTAGGGATAAAGGGGGTTGAGGGGTTTAGGGGGTTAGGGGTTAAGGTTTAGGGGTTCAGAGGTTTAGGTTTTAGAAATCAGAATAGTCATGAAGCCTTTTGCAGGACAGCGTGTGGAGTTTGAGATTAGAGCTTGGTGCCGGCTGATAAGGCGCGCTTTATGGAGCCCTTGCCCGTGGTGGTAGCCCATGGAGCGACTGAGCTTGAAATCGGGGAGCTGTTTGGTAAATCTTTGCAGGGTTGTGAGTGTAGGAATTAAAGGGGTTTTGGGGTGACAAGTCTTAAACCCCAAACTTCCGTCGAGGTGAATGATTCGTAAGATTGAATGCTTCTGGCCGTTACACCCCTGTCAGAGTTTGACTAAGGTGCATGCTGTGCGGTCCAGGGAGTCAGCTTTTGTTGTGTGGTTTGGGTTTGAGAAATGACTGGCTTGGAATTCAATGTTAAGGCTGGGTTCAAGTCTTGTCAGGGTTCTGGTTTCAGGGGGACAGTTACAGGGATCAGCATTCAGGGTGTTGGATGCACGACACACCAACACGAAGAGTAGCTAAAGCCGGGCTTTAAGATAGGACTTTTGGATCTCAGAATGGTTTCCAGGATTCGCCGCACGCGGATAATTACCCATCGCTGCAGAAGCTGAGCAACCGATCATATGCATGGTTTCTTCAAAGTGCACGTCGCATCGCCGCAATGCTCAACTTGCCTACCTCCGGTTGAAACATCCTCTCCAAATAGGAAGCCAGGTTTGTTTTGGGTTCAGGAGGTAGTGTTCAGGTTAAGGGTAGTTTAGTGTGTTAGGCTTTAGGGTTCTGAGGTGCCCAAGTACTGAAGTAATCCGGATTCTTGTGATTCGAGATGTCTGGAGCGGAAACCAAGTCACCAAACAGTTGTAAGACCCTTCGCGCCACCCCCAAGCCTGAACCGCTAACCCTGAACCTTGGAATGGTTCTGGGCCTAAAACCTGAAACCGAACCCTCAGGGGCTCTTTGCTGATGGCGCCGTGGAGGGCAGCATGAAGGCACGTCGAGGTGTTGAGAGTTTGACAGGTTTTCGGGTGTAGGGCATCTGGATTTAATGCTTACTAGGCTTACTGCTTACTACTTGCTCCTTGGTACGTAGTGCTTCTCTGCCCTCGTCCACGTGCTACCTACTACTCATCCGTTGCTACTGACCACTCACTACTTAGCTGTAGCTTTGCTACTACATGCTGCTTCCTACTTGCAAATTGCTGCTTACTGCTCACTACTTACGCACTACTCACTCCTCGCTACTGACTGCGACTGACTACCTGTTTCTTTAAGCTGCCCACTTGCTATTTACGACTTACCACTTGCTACTTACTACTTGCTACATATTTTGTCGGACTCAAGACTCCGACTTACTACGCACTAGAGGCTACATGCTCCAGCCTGCCCGTACTATCGACTGGCGGTTACTTGCTACTGGCTACATACTACTTACTGTGTACTATGAGCGTACAACATACTAGTTGCTGACTGCTGCTTTCTGCATACTAGAAATAAGCACTTTCGATTACTACAGAATTGGTACTTCTCACTTCCTACTACTACTTCTACTACTACTACTACTGCTGCTACTACTACTACTACTGCTGCTACTACTACTACTACTACTACAGCTCCTGCTCATACCAGTGCTTGAACTAAGGGGGTGGGTGGGAATGGGGGGGCGTTGGGCGATTACGTTCATGGTTGCCCGAAGCTGGCTCCAGCGCGGGGAGTGAGCCCGCTTGGTTGGCCGCGAGCCTTTCTGCTTCCCTGGTTCTCCGCGAGGGAGGCATTCGGCTGAAGGAGCCTGATCATGTCTGCAATCGGAGAAAGGAGTTTGTTAAAGCCGCTACCTCAGGCCATTGATTGCCTGTGGCGACAACTTCATCAGACCGACGACGCAGAACCGAACTTTTCAAGGTGGCCTGAAGCCATGCTTCGGACGAGATTGTTCGCACGGTGTTTTCGCTACAATCCGCTACAACCTGAGTTTGCCACAAAAAAAGCGACTTTTTCAAGAAACCAGGTTCAGTTCTGAAGATGTTTCAGAAGTGGCACGTCACCACAACGCCCGCCAGGCGACAGCAGACGCGACAAAGTCTTCTTCCTGATGAGGAAGATGACGACGATGATGATGCTGGTCTCCATTTCCTTATCTTCCTCGCCGGCATTACCACCATCGTCCTGGTTGTGCTCCCGATGTCATCCATTGACATGGTCATAAACATCATCCTCGCCGGTATGCTCAGCAAGCTCTTGCACATCAAATTCGTCGTGCAGGCAAATCCAACATCATCATCATCAGCAGCAGCATCGTCAGTAGCACCAGCATCAGCAGCATCATCAGCATCATGAGTATCAACATCGTCATAATCGGCATCTTCATCATTATCATCATCATCACAACCATCGTCATCTTCATCTTGATCATTGTCGTGTTTCAAGTAATTTCCGGGATTTCGATTCCGCGATTTTTCAATACGCCTCATTACCCAACAGCCCCAATGGCACACAATTTAATGCTGCTACTACTACTACTACTACTGCTACTACTACTACTACCACTACTACTACTGCTGCTACTACTACTACTACTGCTACTACTACTGCTACTACTACTACCACTACTAATACTACTACTACTACTACTACTACTACTACTACTACTACTACTACTACTACTACTACTACTACTACTACTACACCACTACTACTACTACTACTACTACTACTACTACTACTACTACTACTACTGCTACTACTACTGCTGCTACTACTACTGCTGCTGCTACTACTACTACTACTACTACTACTACTGCTCCTACTACAACATCTATTGCTAGCAATCTCGCTACGTACTGATACCAGCACTTACCAGGACTCGTAGTATATAACAAGTATTATGTATGAGTACCAGTACAGTGCCGGTATGACGGTACGAGTACTAGTACCAGTACCCGGTACTAGTACGTACCAATACACGTAATAATAATAATACTAATAATAAAAATAAATAATAATAGTATAGTAGTGTATTAGTGTACAAGTGTACCAGTGTGCCAATGTACTAGTGCACCACTGTATAAGTGTACCAGTGTACCAGTGCAGCAGTGTAGCAGTGTACCAGTGACTAGTGTACCGGTGCACCATCGTACCAGTGTGCCAGTGCCAGTACCAGTAGTTACAGTAGCAGGAGTAGAACCAGTGCCAGTTACGCGTACGAGCTCGTACTTGTGCCAGTACCAAAGCCTCATGCCGATTCCAGTCCAAGCCTTACTTGCATACTGAACATCCAGATGGGTTGTTGATTCGCTCGGTTGCGAACAATACATCCTGATGATTGTCACGCTTAGTCGCAAAAGTCCTTATGGGACCAATGTTGGTCGTTGTCCGGGAGGGAATCAGGTGATTAGCTGTACTACACAGGCTTTGGAAATGCTTCAAGCCCAGATCCTTCAGATAATGCAACACCGACAATGTTTGACATTTGACAGTCTAGCATTGTTTGCTCCGGATTGAATCTTGCTTGCCAAATAGGGATCATGTGCATCACGTGACGGTCGTGTTGGAGTTGAGGTCGGTATTGCGAGAATTTTTTACCGGGACTGTTGGTTCTGGCGGCTTACATACTGCTCTCCGGGGAACCGTGCGCGAGGTTCACGCACTGAAAGGGAACCATCAAGGCGAGCTTGCAAGATGCGGGACTTCAGCATCACGTAGTGCAGGTTGCACGAGCGGCACTCGCAGCCCACATCAGCATGTGTTTCGCGCCACGTCGAATTGTGTCCATGGTAGGCATGAAGCCCAGAATCACAAACGCGTAGTCTTGGTTCCTGAGATTTGAACATGCTTGAGCGCCAACTTGGGTTTCGACATTTCATAGCTATAAGATGTTGCGTGAAGTATATTGCTGCGTGTAGGTTCTGAAGTCCAACAGTGCCAGAGAGATTTTGTGACGGGTGTCCGTGATGTGGCTCATCAGGGGTAGCCTTTTGCAGGGTTGGATTGCCGGAAACGAAATCTGAAGCGTGATGCCTGAAACCCCAAAGCTTCAAAGCCGCAGGCCCAGAGAGTTTAAACACCACCGCATAAAACTCTTCTCACACTGCCTAAACCCAGAGGCCCTAGACCCTCCGCTTTTGATTGTAAGGCGCAGGTGGTGAAAGAGCATCTCGGGCTGAATGTTGAGGCTGGATCTTGCATGCACAGAATTCCACAAAAGGTTTGAATTTCCTTGAGTACAGAACGGCCTTCTGGCCGAAGAACCTAGAGATATGGATTTCAGAAGGGGCCCCCACCCTGTAATAGTGGTATAATAGGAATAGAATAGGGCCCGAATATAATCCTTATAGTCACTATTACAGAGTGGGGGCAGCTTCTAATATGGATCCCTGGAGCCATCTAGATTATTCGGTAGGCGGGCGGCGTAAAATAGTAGCTCTGCGGGAAGTCAGCAAGCAAGTTTGCATGCGCTCTTGCATGCATACGTCTGGGCATGAGACACATGACATGACACGGCAATCCGGTCATGACAGGTCCTAGACACACATTAGTGTTGGATGTTGGAGCAGTCTTGCACCCATTGCTCCGCGCGTGAACTTCGATGTACATGTAAGTCACAAGCCAGGACACCTGCAGCCCCAATCGCCGAAACCTTCAAGCCCGAAGGGATCAGCCACCAAGTGTTTGAACCCAAAGCAGCAAAAGAGCGGCCGAAGCGCTGATTTTCTTAAACCGTCCTATCTGAACAGCAGACGATCACATCAGCCTGACATACCCTAAACCCTAACCTGCACGCGCGACACCATCAACCATAAATCTTAGAATGAATCCTTCAACCCCTTGCCCCTGCCCCGAAATCAGTACTGATATTCCGCAGGGCTATTCAGAAAATCGCAGCACATATTCCGGCCCCCACCCCTCACAAAAAGAAACTTCCCAAACCCAAGTATTAAAAGAATCAAGGAACCCAACCTTGGGCAGGAGCCACTCATGAAGCAGCTGGGGGCTCAGGGCAAGGCAGCACACGTTTACATGCCTCGGTTTAAGGTTTCGGTGTTTGGGGGTGTAGGGCTTTAGGGGTTTAGGGGTTAAGGCTTACGGGCTTTATAGGCTTCTGGGTTCGCGGCTTATTTCCCCCATTGGTGCTCTTGGTTGGTTTGGCGTCTATTTGAGGCTTCTAGGTTTTTCGGTTTGTTGGTTTGATGCAAGTAGGCCTTCATGGTATGGGGTGCTAATGAATATTTCAGGTCGGCTGCTTCTGATGAAACTGAGAAGACCTTCGTTATGGGATGGACCCAAGCACTTAGGAAAAGAGACCCAACTAGACGCAACAGATCACAGACACTGGCCAGAGGTCAACGTCAGTCAACGTCTGTGTTTAAGTACAAGTACCGCAGAGTAGGGGCTCCGCTTGTGCACAAAATGAGCTCGAGGTTTAAAGGTTTAAACTCTAAACACTAAATGCTTGTTGCAACTGTTCATCTGTTGGGAATTCGCGGCCGTGAGACCCGAGACCTTTAACCCGAAACTGGGAGTGTACAGAAACTGCTCGAAAACATTGGGGAGTTTCTGAAACATAGTACACTAAATAGTAGGATCCTGATTATAAGCCCCAAAAAATTACTCAGGTATTCCTAGCTTTCGGAAGCTCCCATTTCACTTTTTCGTGTTATCGTCAGATTAGCGCTGGATCTCCCAGCATCGCTAGTTTCGCCAGCCTTCTTGGCTTTCCCTCATATGGAATGCAGGGGCCTTAGTAGTTAGAGTAGGGCTCTTGGGGCTCCTTATCATATAAATATAGTGTCACATACCCCCAGAGCTTATTCTAATTAGTGTAAGGTCCCTACAGTAATGCGGCGTTGGTTGCTACAGTTACGCTTGTTACTGCTTGACTAGTATAGTGGTTTGCCAGCGCGCATGCACCACTTCGACTACGCCTGCTGCTGCTACTGCTGCTGCGCCGACTTTGCCTTTACTTCTGTTTCTACTCCACCACTACTGCCACCGCAGGGTTTCCATCCCTCGCAAGCAACTTACGTCGAACAGCCCCACACGCGCAAGCAGATGATCACCCCTGCCGCTCCCACAGGCGTTGCTGATGCAAGAAACGGAGGACCTCATTTCGGGTTTTGGGCTCATTCGGGCGGTCCACTGACGATGGTTTTTGACGCTTGGCACTTATATCTTGAATTCAGACAGACTCCTAAACCCTACACCTCCACGCCCCAAACCTCTTTCACCGCAACGATCCACAACTCGAAGGCTAATTGCCCTGAACCCGCAAACCCTGTGTCCTGGAACCTTCCGAAACTCATGCAGGTTGATTTCTAAGCCCCACGTTTCAATTCAGAACGCATACAGGTCGCTTAACTCTGGAAACCTACCCGGCCTTTCGAAAATCAGGAGCCCAGTTTGCACTACGCCGCGAACCCTAGACCTTAGACCTTATGACGCCAAACCCTGTAAGCCTGAAGTCTTACAGGCCTAGAGTCTGTCTATCTATCTAGAAAACCACCCAGACCCCAAAACCCTAAAGCCCTCAACCCTGCAACCTTCAGCCCTGTACCCTAAACGTTCTATTTTGGGCTCTTCTTATCTGGGAGTTTTCCGAAAATTAGAGGTACCTTATTTTGGGGGTCCTTATAATAAGGATCCGACTATTTAGGGTACCTGAAAGGAACCCTAATTCAGAGAACTACCCATTTCGAGGAGGAGTGGGAGTTGATCTTCAGCCACCAGCACCTGTCAGCAGCACCCCTTTTTGCTTTTTTGTTTAGGGTCCAGGGTTTAGGGGTTTAGGGGGTATTAAACTGAGTGCTTGGCAAAAATGTAACAAACCCTGTACCCTAAAAGCCTTAAACCCTACACCCTAAAAACCTTGTACCCTGAACACCCTAAACCGCAGACCCGAAAAAAAAACCAATAAACCTTAAACCCTATACGCTAAACCCCTAAACCCTCAATCCTGTGGGGAACCTAGGCCACCAGCACCTTGCGGCCCTCGAGCATCAGACGCGGGTGGCGCCTTCTTTGAACTTGGACTTACTTAAACCGCCAAAAGTAGGTAAAATAGTGGCCCAATACCTATAAAAGGCTATTATTGTACATACTTTTAGGGTCCAGGTCCGTGCAATTTCATGCCGCAGTGCGCAGCCATGCCAAGCTACTAAAGAGTGTTCGCTCTAGAGCAAAGCCCCAGCAAGACTTGGTTCGGGCAAGTTGTAATGGGTACCTCTGCCGGTCCCAGAATACGTACTTACACCTTCCAGAACCCCAAAACCTTAAAGCCATATACTAAAGAACCGACCCGAAAACGCAAAACCCTACACTTCAAGCCCTGGCCCCCAGACCCTGAACCCAAAACCCTATGATGTAATGTAGAGGTAGAGGCCTTTCAAAATGGAGCTTTGGGGCATATTATACGATAACTACAATAAAGAACCCCCACAACAGTATCGGTCATGGCCCTTATAGTAGCCCTTATAGAGCCTTTTCACGGCACCCGAGCCTAATTAATAAGGCCCCTACATAGATCGCTTATAGAACCCCAAAAAGGAAATCTTACAATACCCGTTAAAGGAACCCTGTTCTAATGATTATCAGGGCAACACAGAAGGGGGCAACACTTTGGAAAGGCAAGACCCGACCCTTCGCCCGAAGTTCGTCGAACCCCGCCGGCGTTCGCCGAACCCTCGCCGAACACCTCCCCTCCTTCGAACCTTTATTATTAAATTCTAATATTATTAATATTAATTAATACTAATAATACTAATAATAACTAATTAATATTCATTTAATTATAATTAATATTAATATTAATATCAATAATACGAATACTAATATAATACTAATAATACTAATACTAATATAATAATACTACTAATAATAACTACTAATACTAATATTAATGCTAATACTAATTTGTTTAATACTAATACTAATTAAATCCTAATACTAATGTTACATAAATTATTATTATACTTAAATTTATTTAAATACTAGTACTTATGATACTGATATTTCAATATAATTTGTAACAACAGAACTAATAATACTAATACACTAATTAAATTAGTAATTAAATATTACTAATACTAGTATTATTAATGATGTATTAAATACAAATATTTATTAAGTCTCATATTAATAATTTTAGTAATATTTATATTCAAAAAATACAAAGGTGAAATTACAATGAATGTGAAAAACTAATAAACTAAAAAGTATTAGCAATAATGTGCATACTTTAACCTTATCACGAATGGCTCATAGTATAATAGATTTGCATTCGAAGCCTGAATGGCTTGTATTCTTAGTCATAGATGAATAATATGGGAACCCTGTCATGAACAATTAACTTGCAGAATACTTGTTAGTGTGCTGTTCAGAGTTACTAATTGATAATCAATGTCCATACAGGCCATTGTCAATAAAGTATATTGTTTGTTAGCTATTTCTTATTATTCAATTTGTGATACTATCGCTAGTGGTAACAATTTAAACAATAATTTTTAAATAACTCATCATCAGCACACTATTTCTCACAGGGGCCTGCCTATCACCGGTACGATCCCAATTCATATTCTAATAGTATCAATAATAAAAAAACTCAGTTTCCTGATTGCTTAATTTGGACGCAGAACATGTGTGTCCTGGATATGCATCTATTTTCTTTGAGTGGTTCTGTATAATAATTAAGCAGCTTTATGAACTTGTGTATGATATGATGTCAACACTAATCAAAACATACTGCCGTATAAGTGATGAATAATTAAATACACACTTTGACTTAGCTAGATTATTCGTGGTTTTGCCTGTTGTAACACTGAATACTGGCTAACAAGAACAATAGTACTATTTTATAATCAGCAGGTTTCAGCAAGATTGAGTACAATAATATCACGATCATCCCTCTGCTTGTAACCAGAAAGAATAAACAACAGTTGAGTCGAAAGAACAAACTTGACAATAGTGTAGCCAGAGGCTTAGGCAATTACATTGTTACTAACTGTTAGCAGCATAAAGAATGTAGTTAATAGCAACAACAAATATGAACACATATAGATACTCACCATCATCATCGTCATCATAATCATGCGTGCTGCTGTGTCTTTTTGTTTTGGGAAGGGGGGAAGGTTCAGTCAGGGCAAGACTTCGGCTTCGCTGCAGTTGGGAGGGTTTGGGGTTTGCGAGTCTTGCAGGGTTTGGCCCGAGTCCATTGTAAGAACCCTATTCCCAAAGACCCGAAAGAAAAGAAACCAACCCCACCATGCAGCCCTCCTGAAGCCGCAAGCCCAGCCCAAGCAAGAGAGCATTCACGTCTTGGACAAGATCATGGTGATGCTGGGAGCCCGGGCAAAGTACTCAGTGAGGGTTTCCGGGTGAGCGCCTAAGGATTCGGGTTAGGAGTTAATGGGCCGACCGTGAGGTCGTGCCCGGGTCTAGGAGTAAGATTTACGCTAGCCGGGTCGACCGGGAGGTCGCGCCCGTTTTTGCAAGACGTCCATCGGACGCCGGCCGTGAGGTCGTAAGAACAGCGGCTGGGAAGCCGAGTCGTAATACGGCAAGAATTAGCAAGACGTCCATTTGGACGCCGGCCGTGAGGTCGTACGAGTAAGAGATAGCAAAGTCACTATATGGAGAGACGGTAGGGAGTAAGGTGTAAGATCAACAGACGTCCATAGGATGCCGACCGGGCGGTCGCAAGATTAGAAAGGAGGGTCAATGCAGAGTAAGATTATTCTTCCAGCAAGCAACTAGTTACGTCGTATTGAACTGATATTATTGGCCATTGGTTGATGGTTGTTGGGTTGAGTAGTCAGTGTTACAGTGTATAATAAGACTGTGATGTGTTTCTTGATGTGGGAATTTCAGGGCAAGACCTAACCCTGCCGAGAGCGTAAGAACCGATGACGAACGCCCCCTGATAAATACGGAGCTTCCGCAAGCTTTGAATGTAAGTCGTAAGTGTAAACCGAACCACCCTCTCCCGCGCAAGATTCCGATTTGCTAGCTGCCCGAAGCCATCAGACTTGAACTCTGCCTGACCTCAGACCCAACTCCGAGCCCTAAACCGGGACCAATCTCCAAACAGGCAAGAACATTTGTAAAAAATGTTAGACATTAGTTAGAGACTTGCCCAAGGCAATCAATCAATATACAAAATTCAAATCAATTAATAATAATATACAAAATTCATGCTAAGTGAATTGCCAGATTGACTACCGAGGCCAGACCTCCGCATGCCTCGTCGTGCCAGATTTCTAGCAGGAGGAGACCCGGGTGGTTTGGTTTTCTGCAGTGGGCTTTTGATCAGATCAATAATCGAATCAGCGGTTGTTGACCATTTGTCAGATTTGCGTCAAGGTTGAATTGAGTCAGCAAGAACAGTGCGTCCGCAGTTGACCAGGTTGTCTCAGTCAGACTCAGAAGCATAATTAATTAATTATATTTTTTACAACGTAGAGTGAGTGAAGACGAGTAGACACTGACACGTAGTAGCTCCGCTTCCATGGCTGACCAGTGGCAAGATCAGCAGTGGAATGACCGTGCCACGCGGTGGAATGAGTGGCAAGATGACCAGTGGCGGTGGAATGAGTGGCAAGATGAGCAGTGGCGGTGGAATGAGTGGCAAGATGAGCAGTGGCAAGATCAGCAGTGGAATGACCGTGCCACGCAGTGGAATGAACACCGGCACTGGCCCGAGCAGCAGGGGGGCGACGAGGACCGGAGCAAGAAGAAGAAGAAGAAAAAAAAGGGGGAAGGCGCCGTACTCCGACACACGCTTAAACGGTTTGGCGTGACTTGGCATCTTGATAATAAAACTAACCTTTAAGACTTACTTGTTAAAGATTAGTATTATATTATTCAGTCGTCACATCCATGGCTGGACTCAGGTAGTTGGCACGCAAGAGTTATATTGCAGGCAACGAGCTGCACGGCAAGAGGTCCTCAACAAAGCCAAGGCTCCTCAAGTGGTCGTGGCCAGATGTAAAGCAGAGCCAAGCAGACCACTCGTGGCCAGATGTAAAGCAGAGCCAAGCAGACCAGAGGACAGACCAGAGCCCGTGGAGCCACAATCAACTTCGCCAGCACAGGTGAACATGCCTTCCCAGCCTCTGCCTGAGCCAGAGCCTGCGGCATTGCCCCGCCAGCCAATTGGACCACCCGTCAGCTTTGGCCCCCCAGCAAGGCCGCAGCCAGAACAAGCACTGAAGCCACAAGCAAGTCAAGCCACAGCCGCAGCAAGTCCAAGGAGACCACCTGAGAGCCTTTTAAACCCAAGGCATTCAGCAAGACCAGAAATGCCAATGCCACGAGCAAGTCCAGCCACAGCCGCAGCAAGCCCACCACCAGCAGGGCTGCAGCACCAAGCCCAAGCCCCGCTAACTCCGCGGCCAAAAGGACGGCCAATGCAAATAACTGAGCCAGCACAGCAACAGCAAGAGCAGCAGGTCCAACAAGCCCCGCCAACTCCTCAGACTCCCCCCCCTCCTCGCAGCGGCCGCAGCAAGTGGCACAGCCACGGCAACAGCAACCAGCCCCACAAACTTCAGCTGCACAAACTCAGCAAGGGCTTCTAGCAGCACCGCCGCAGGTCCCAGAAATGCCGCCACCGCGGTGGCAGCCGTTGCGACAGCAGCTGCAGCAGGGAGCCCCGCCGCAGCAAGAGCAGCCGGCACCCGTGAGCCAGCCGCCGCTCAACCGTCAGCAACAGCCGCTACAGCAGAGAACATCACAGCAAGAGCAGCCCGCACCCGTGAACCAGCCGCTCAACCCTCGGCAAGAGCCGCTGCAGCAGAGAGCCCCGCCGCAGCAAGAGCAGCAGCCGCTCAACCCTCAGCAACAGCCACTGCAGCAGAGAGCCCTGCAGCAAGAACAGCAGAGAACATCGCAGCAAGAGCCCGCCGCGTGAACCAGCCGCTCAACCCTCGGCAAGAGCCGCTGCAGCAGAGAGCCCCGCCGCAGCAACAGCAGCAGCCGCTCAACCCTCGGCAACAGCCGCTGCAGCACAGAGCAAG